CCTGTGGAATGAAGGGTTCCGGGTTCGATTCCGGTCAAGGGCACATGCCCCGGTTGTGGGCTCGATCCCTAGTTGGGGGCATGCAGGAAGTAGCCAGTCAATGATTCTCTCTCATCACTGATGTTTCTATCTCTCTCTCTCTCTCCCTTCCTCTCATAAATCAATAAAATATATTTAGAAAAAAGAAAAGAAACACGGTATGTTACTTTGCATTTTGAAAACAATCTTCTGAGACAGATCTTTATTATATCATGCTAGGGGTCTGCTGACTTGTCATAATATTCTCATCTGTTTATCTGCTGTCTCTTTCCATAGATTATAAACTCTCTTTGGCCTACCACAGTGCCTATTATATAGGAGGTGTGCAATTAATATTAATTTAAAAATTACTGTAATTTTCATGCTCTTTTGTTAGAGAAACTGTTCCACTGTGATTCTAATTCTCATTTTGGATTATCTCCATTTTTAGGACTGATCTTGAATTATCTCAGACTTCAATTATTACTTTGAAATACTGCTCTTTGGAAAGGTCTAATTTCTTTTTAATAGTACTCCCCAATAGCATATTCCCCACCCTGCCTGAGAATTGATATCTATATTACCTATATTATAAAAGGCCTGTGGCCCTAATACCATAACGACCAAAGACAGGCATGGGTGGGCGGGGCTGCGAGGGCGAAGGCACGAGCGAATGGGCAGGGCTATGCGATTTTGCGCGCTGGGCTTCTAGTTATATAATATTAGGATGACCAAAATAAATTTTCTTATACTTGTATTATCTGAATACCTTCTGTTGCAGTTTCACATCTAATTTTTTATGCTTATTACTTTTAAAAAATATTCTCAACCTCTCAATATCATTGACTATTGTAATCTTAAAGAAGAATGCAGAGAGCTAAGGAAATGGTAAGACAGCCACAAGAGTATTTGTGAGGAACACTAGCTTTCTCTGATTTTTTTGTTGAGATGGCACACTTAGACACCATAAGCCAAGTTATTGCACATAATTATTTAAAAACTGTGCTACCTGCTTAATTGGTTTAAAATAATTTAAAAGGGTTTCTGCTTAGCTTCTACAAATGAATCTAGTTCATCCACTTTTAATTTGGTTAGAATAGCTCCATTTCAACAATTTAGTCACCATTCTTTCAGGTTTCATAGAATTTATTCATTCCCTTTAAAACTGGAGCATTTGGACAGCACTCTTTAAAAATAGCAGCAAAGAGCAAGTTTTTTCCCACTTACCTTTTTTGACCAATGCCCTCCCAGAAAAATCTTCCCTCATCCCCTAGATGCAACAGCACAGGATTTAGCACACACTACTCCAACTAGTTCTCCCTAGCATTGCAAGAGCTCACTGTTTCTTCAGTTGAGTTTAATGAAATACTCGGCTTGCATTTAGAGGCCATGTTTTACAAAAAGAAGCCAGCACATAACCAGAATCTTTCTAGAAGCACAGATATTGAGTGAAGAAGAGATTCATGTTTCCCTTCCTGTGCTTTAAGGCATAAGCTCACCAAGGGGTACAGTGGGAATATCCAGCACTACTTTTATTTTTATTTTTTGTCAAACGTAGTTGAATTCAAGTAATTTACTTAAGTACAAGTATGTGATGCAAATCCACTGTTAGCTATATTTATGTCACATTTATAGTTTTTTCCCCTTTAGTTTGCAGATTTTAGGAGTTTAAGAAATGTAATAACTCTAAGGGTAATATTAAATGCTAGACAAATACATTATTTTTATACTTTAAGTACATAGTTCTTAATCACCTGAAGAGCTTTTTTAAAAATGAGATGGCCAGGGCCCATCCAATTCTACTGAATTAGTTTTCTTTGGGTATGGAGATTTAGTACATTTATTATTTTTTTTTAAAGTTCTATAGGTAATGCTGATGAGTACCTCCTGGCCCAGAACCAAGGCTTTAAGCCACCGTTGACCAATAGTTTGTCAACCAGAATCAACTTGGCCTATTTCACAATTTTGCCTAGGGATAACTCAGTGCTTCCTGGTTCCTGATTGCCTCTTGATTTGCTGCCTATGTATGTCCTGACTTCTTTCCTGTTCTGTCTCAGGGCCTTGCCTTCCAGCACCTCTGGGCTTCTGAACTGGAAACCTGGCCTTTGATCTCAGGTGCCATCATAAGCATAGGTTCTGGTTATACGCGCCAGGTTGGCTCACTGGACTTGGCTCTCCTGATCTTTGTATCTAATTCTGGCTCCACCATACACTTCCAGTTATGAGGGAAGAGCCAAGATGGCTCCAAAATGATTTCAAATAATTAAAATAGGTAAGGTCATTAGTAATGCATGCTCATCTACTTCAGTAGTCTAGTTTGATGCCCTTCAAACACTGCTTTGTAAAAAGCACCCCAACCAAAAATTCTTATATGGAAAAAGTCCTTAGCCTGGAATAAAGGCCCTCTATGCTCTAGATATGACCTACATTTCTGGATCTTATGCTATTCCTTGTGTAGCTGGTGCTCCAGCCTAGCTGAACTTCACTGTTCCCCAGAAAGCCATTGGCAATGGTGTGCTAACTTCCTTTCTTCACTACATTTTCAATGCCTCGGACTTTTTCACCAGCAGCTTCCTCTTCCTCTATCCATTGGTAGGATTGCATATACCCACCATATCCAAATCCTACCAGTCCTTTAAAGCAGTATTTCCCAAACCTGAGTAATATAAAAGAAATTACTATGATTCTACAAAATACATTTTTGAACAGGCAGGGTGGGGTCCATAGACCAGTTTGAAAAGGACGAATGTGGAAAACTGAAGACCAATTCCATGAAATCTTTCAGTTGCAAAGTATCACTTTGAAAGAATAATTCTGTCTTTAGAACTAGGAAAACAATTTGTATGTTCTTTAAACAAAAAGAAAAAATTTTAAAGCATTCAAGAACGCTTGTCCTGGCTGGTTTGGCTCAATGGTTAAAGTAGTTCCCTCACCAGGACCGGGCGATTCTGAGATAACATCTAGTGAGAGACAGGCCTGTGGACTGAAGGGACTGGTTTGGATTCCTGGTCAAGGGCACCTACATATGTTGCAGGTTCTCCAGCCGGGTTGGGGCACATGTTGGAGGCAACCAATGATGTCTCTCTCTTATATCAATGTTTCTCTCTCTTCCCCCACTCCACCCCCAACCCCCATTCTGTCCAAAAATCAATGGAAAAATATCCTCTGGTGATTATTAAAACAACTCTCATTCTTAGCTCCAGGTCTAGGATCCTAGTTTTAGAAACACTGCTTTAAGGCACAGCTTAAATGTATTGACCCTGGAAAATGTTTTTTCATCACTGCAGGGTAATACATTTTTCTCAGAATTTTCTGAGTTTACTATCTAATCACTTTCTGCCTTGTAGTAGCTAATAATATGTATGTAATATTGTTGTAGAAAAACCTTAAGCTCTTCGAAGGCAGGTAGCATATTTTAATCATTTTTAACTCCACCAGTCCTCAGCAAATACTGTAAAACCTGTATTTCATCTTATTTTGTAGTCCAAAAAAAAAAAAAAATCTCAAAAAAAATCTCTCTTCTATGGTACATACAACATATTACTGAAATAGCCCCATTACAGCAAAAAGTTCAGAGACTGACTTAATTAGAAAAAGTCCAAGCTGTGAAACTCAAGATTTAAACAAAGTGTCACAAAGCATGTCTCTTCTGTGTTAATGTCAATAGGAACGACTCTTAAAAAATGATCAGTAGGTAAACAATAAATTTTAGGGTAAAGAGTAAAAAAAATCAAAATTCAAGGCTAGTACATTATCAGGGCTATATCTCTAATTCAACTTGTATTTGAGGCAGTCTTCAGTATTTTAACCAGTGAGTCCGAGGAAGCTGTTTCCCCGATCCTCAGGAGATTTCATTATTTCTGGCATCGCGGCAGGTGCAGGTCTAACCTAGCACTAGTTCCCTCCCCAGGACGGGGCGATTCTGAGATAACATCTAGTGAGAGACAGGCAGGGTGCAGGCAGCCCATTCCCTGCGTCACTCGAGCAAGCCGGCCAGTTTTTTCACTTAAAAATAAGAGTAACGGATTATGGTTTTCCAAGGTCCCTTTTAGCTCTGAATCTGGCAGTGTACGAAGTAAACATGGTTTGGGAGCGGTCTTTCTCTGGGTAGTACCGGTTTTTCTCCCTGAGACTAACAAGGGCAACAAACTGTGAGTAAGCCTTCCGCCACGACCTTTAAGTGCTGAGTTAGAAACAAGTGGCTTGTTCCCTTTTAGTTGGGTCCTCCGACGAGAGGGTTCCTGGCCTGTCCCGGGTCCGCCCCAAGGCCCAGGGAGCCGGCTCCGTCCTCACGGCCCAGGGGGAGCGGCGGGCCGCTCGGAGATCAGTCCCTGGTCATAAACAACCTCTCACTTCCCTTCCCCCGCCCCGGGTCCGCCCACGCCGGGGCCGGCCCTCTGAGGACCGAGGCAACTCCTCCGCTGACCGCGGGCGTGCCTCCTACCCTAAACGGGCGTTTGATCCGTAACTTCTCTCCTCCTCGCTCGCCCCGCGGGGAAGGGGCTTGTTACGGAGACCGCGGAAGCAGCGCCGAGGCCCGCGTCCACTTCCCTCCTCCCGACCCCTATCACCTCCAACAGCCAAGGAGAGCGCCGCGGCACCGCCGCGCAGACTCACAGCCGCAGCCGACCTGCGCGCGCGCGCGCTGACGCTGCTCCCGCCCCCACCCAGCGATCCTTCCGCGGCCCGTCTCCGCCCCTTCCCGGAGCCGGCCTCCGCGTCCGCCGGCCCGCCGCTCACCCCTCGCGCTCGCTCGCTCGCGCGCGCACCCGACGCCCCGCCTTCACGCGTGCTCAATAACAGTTCCCGAAGCCGGCCTACAAGCTTCGCCTGTCCCTGAGCTGTTTGAATATGCTAATGAGGGGCTAAGCACCAGCCAATAGAATAGCGGAGCGGTGCGTCACGTGGCGCGAAGACGTGTCAGGGGGCGGTGGCTCTGCAGCCCCAGCCCGAGTTAAAACCGGAGTGTGAGAGAGAAAAGCGCTTCAGTAGCGAGAGGGGCTGAGAAAGTGGTGACACCGCCGGGTTGCGGAGGGAGTCCCTGAAACTTCTCCCAACAGCCCCAGGGCCAATCTCCTTTCAGCCCACTCCCCTCTTCGCCAGCTCCCAGGTCCCCACTCCCTGCATCGGGGGTGGGGTGGGGGGCCAGGCTCGTCTCCCGCTGGGACACACACAGGGGCCGGGAACGGGGACGGGACCCCCGAGGCGGGGGGACGGACCGACAGACAGACGGCCGGCTCCCGCCCCAGCGGGCAGGCAGGCAGGAGGAGGCGGAGACGGGGGTACGACGGGGAGGACTGGGTCTGGGAGTTTCCTCTCAACTACCGGGGGAGAAACTCCCCGCAGCCGGAGGAAAGACCCAGACGGTGTTTTCCTCCCGGGGGCCGCGCTCCCCCGCCCCGCGTAGCGGCGGTCGCCGCCGCCGCCACCGGCGCCTCCACCTCTACCATCTCCTCTTTCTCCACCACCGCGGGCCCCGGTGTTCCCGGCCAGCACTATGCCCATCTTACTGTTCCTGATAGACACGTCTGCCTCTATGAACCAGCGCAGCCATCTGGGCACCACCTACCTGGACACGGCCAAAGGCGCGGTAGAGACCTTCATGAAGGTACCGACTGACCGAGCCCGGGCGTCGACCCCGGCCCAGCTGCCCGCGGGCGGCAGGGGTGGCGGGGAGCGCGGCCGGGGGCGGCGAGGCGGAGGTGTCGGGGACCTGACTGCGGGAGCTGCCGGGCTCGGGGACCCCCTCCCCCACCGCGCGGGCGGGCGTGCGCTGCGAGCCGGGCTCGGCCCGGGCCCGGGCTCCGGCCCCGGGCGGTGTGTCGGAGCCGATCTGTGTGTGTGGGGGGCGGCGTGGGGGGGGGGGGCCCGCGGCGTGTGCGGTACTGTAGGGGGGCGGCGGGGCCGGGGGCGCCCCTTCTCCGCCTCGTAACCTCGCTCTGTGCTTCCCTCTCACTCGCCCTGTTCTTCCTCCCGCCCCCCACCCGCTCTCCTGCAGCTCCGCGCCCGGGATCCTGCCAGCCGCGGAGACAGGTATATGCTGGTCACTTTCGAAGAGCCGCCCTATGCTATCAAGGTAACAGCGCCTGCCCTCCCCCTTCCCCTTCCTGTTCCCTCCTCGCTCGCCGCCCCCCCATTCACCCTTCATGTTGCTCCCCTCCCCCCCGCTGTGCTCCAGGCGCAGAGGTCTTTTTCCCTACGGGCTCCCACCCCTTCCCCCGCTCTGGAGCGCCGTGGCGCGGTGCGGAGTCGCGGGGCCACCGCCGTCCCCTCCCCAGCCCGGCCCGGCGGCGGCGGTGGCGCTGCGATCAACATGGCCGACATTTCCCCTCCGCGGCGTGAGCGGCAGCAATGAACTGTGGGGGATATTTATTCAACTTAGCCCGAGTGACAGCCGGGCCCGGCCGCCGGGAGCCCGGGTTTGCATGAAAGGGGAATCGGCCCGCGGCTCGGCCGCCCTCCCCACGCTCGCCGCCGGCGAGCCAGCCTGGCGGGGGCTGCGGGCTTGGTGTTAGGAGCCTTCCCGAGAGGCCGCGGGTCGTGGGGCAGCGGGAGGTGAACTTCAGAAGTCCTGCCCGCGCCTGCTTCCCGCTAGCACTTTACATCCCACGTTTTGGGTGTTAAGTTAGGGAGTGCATTTCCCAGGGAAGTTGCGAAGTAGTTGGGCTGCCCAAAGCTGTAGTGCAGGCAGGGTGATTCTTGGCCACCTTTGGAGGAGAGTTTCTTCAGCGGTGATAGGGAATTACACGTTAGTCAAACCATAGTGTAAAGCAAAGCAGCTGTTTGATCAGCTACAGATTGTAATGGTGTTTTGTGTATACATGGCTTTAAATAGTGAAAAAAAACCATTCTTACATATTTCTTTTTAGGCCGGATGGAAAGAAAACCATGCAACGTTTATGAATGAACTGAAAAACCTTCAGGCTGAAGGACTTACGACTCTTGGCCAATCCCTAAGGACAGCTTTTGATTTATTAAATTTAAATAGATTAGTAACTGGCATAGACAACTATGGGCAGGTAGGTTGAATATTAAGGTGGAAAACAGTTAATTTTTCTTTTTGTGGAAAAACAGCCCAGTCCAAAAACTATATAACATGAAATACAGTACAAAAGATTTTGTATTAAAATACAACAAGCACATAATACAAAAATGAAACTCTGACCATACTATATATGTTTTATATGTAGTCCTCTTTTTCATCTTAAAATGTATTTGTTACCTTGCACTCACATAAATAGATAAATATCCTGCCTCATCCCACTCAGTACAGACACTAGTTGATTAGTGGTCTTCATTTCTATGCTAGAAAAAATGTTAGGAAATTATTCTTTTTGTTATATCAGGGTTTAATTTAACTATATTGTATAACTACTATGAAAGGTAATATTTTCCTTGGAGTGCAATAACTGGCTGAATACATTTAAGATTTCTCAGCTTTTGAAGTTTATACCATAAGCAATTATTCAGGAAGAATTCTTAATTCATTTCTGAATTAAATGGCAGGTCCAGAGGTGGTTTTTTAAAATTTATTTTAATTTTTTTATCCTAAAACTTTGGGAGAGATGCTGTTTGAAAATATGAAAGAACCTTTCCTTACTCCCTTACTCCACTCCCTACACTCTTCCATCTACTGCACTTGCTTGTATCTGTCTGAAGGTGAGCAAGAGCTTTAAATCACATGATGGTTCACTATGGAATAATGTAAGGCAATCTATTACAACTTTTTGAGATTTCAGTCCTGGAAAATAAAAATGTGTTATGTTACACATAAAAGAATATTAAAATCCAAGGAGTTTAATTTTTATGCTGCAGTGCAAAGCACTATTACCACAATGATATATTTAGGTATACATTTTGTTCTTTTCTCAAGTTTCATGAGCCTCAGTTTTTATGAATTTCACAAATTTCAGGGGCAAATAACCTTACTACAATTTGTGGTTGTTTTATATAGAAAGAAACAGAATTGTTCCCTCGGTTTAGAAATGTTTGCATTTTACTTCTTAGGAGTAACTTAGCCATATAGCATTTAGTATGCCTTGGAATTCAGTCACTTTGTTTCTGTTTTTATCTAAATGGATTCCCATTGTTTAATTAAGTAAATGTGTATTTTCCTACCACATTAATCTTTTTGTTTCCCCTTCTCTGTGTTGCTCTATTTTGCAACTCAGTATTTTAGGCAGATTTGCCAGGACTTTTTTAGTTTGTTTTTGTAAAATAATGGATTTCCTTTTCTTTTCATATTTCTTTGTTATATGTAGTACTTAAACAGTCTTTCACTGCTTAAGGTTTTGGTCTAAATTTCTTTTAGATCAAAAAAAAAATTTAAAACTTGCCATTGGTTATCCTTTTTTGGTTGTCAGGTTTTCAGTATGTAGCAGAACTATTGATTTCCTGTTTTTCTGCATTACATTTCATAAGTGGGAAAGACAATTAGACACATTTACTTTCTGCCAGCTAATTAAAAATATTGCTTAGGGTGCTTCCTTAGAAAAACTGATTATAATGGAGAGACTGATGACATTTGTAATTTAAACCTGTATTTCTTTTTTCCCAGTTGCCATCTTCCACTGGAGATCACTTAAGTTCTTGTCCATAAAGATTACAGAAAGTTTGAGGTTGAAGGTGGTCCAGCTGTGCTGTTACCAGTTTGACCAAGAGAAAAGCCTGGAGATTAGGATGTTTTTGCATGTTAGGATTTATTAATTCAACAAGGGGAAGGAATAATATTTCTCAGTTATTTTGATGAATAAGCAAGGAGAGATATTAACAGAAGTCCTGAGCTGGCACATAAAATGATACTAGTATTAAACTAACTTAGGAAGCCACAATTTCAAAATGAAAATGAAAATGATGGAGTAAAGTGTTTAGTGAGAAGAAAACATCTTTCCAGATAATATTTTTCATCATAAGACTTTTTTTTGCTAATTTAGATAGTATACATTTACAATTATAAATTGTAAATTATGAAGAATTTTGGATGTCTCAAATAATTAACACAAAATATAGTTCATGCATTTTCTTTGTAAAAGTACTTTGTATCTGCCTATTTTCTGTGGAATACCCCTTACCCTGTTTTTACATAAATAACTTTCATCATCTATGCTAGCATCTGTGGAGACCACACTACTAAATATTTGTATATAATCACAATAATTGAAGGAAATGAGGAAAGGCCAGCTAGATGCTTAATTTTATAGAGCATCTGAAAACCTTTTAAGTTTATAAGTTTTCTTAAATATCTAAATTTGATTCTTCAGCATAAATGTGGGCATGTGTGTATGTATGTATGTATGGCATAGACACTGCAAACTTGCTCTCCCCACATACATGTACATATGTGATTTTTCTATAGCCAAAAGTATTTTTAATACCTATACTGCATCTGTTAATTTAGTTAGCATACCTATAAGTAAAACATCTTTGAGATATTAGTTAGGATACTAAGGAATTTGCAGGGCCTCTGTAGAATAGCTGAGAAAGGATGATTCTTGGTGAATGTTTTCTTCAAGCATTTTGGATATCCCACTAAAAATATTCCTTGCATTTAGAAGTCCTTATAAATATTTAATTTTGACAATTAGTACCATGTCTACAGTCATGGAACAATGTGTAGCTTCTAGTCAAATCTTTTCCTTAAGTATAGCAGCTCCTTATTAAATTGCTTATCATTGCAGCTAAATTCAATATATATATTTTTCACATGTTCACCAGAGTTTCAAAAATAATGCTGATCTTTTGAGAGCCACTGAACATTTGAACTTAATTTCTAAAGTTAGGGCACATCTAAAGTTATAGAAGTCTGATTAAAGTTTTATATGTAGTTTGGTTTATTTTTCATACTGTCCCAAATTATTCTGTTTTCTTGAAATGTTTTCAATATTGCCCCCCCCCGACCCCCCCCCACACTTTTTTTTTTTAAGTTCGGTTCCAGCTATATTCAGATGTTAAATATTATTCTAGCCTGTAATTCATCATTTTTGTCACTAGACTGATTCCATACTCCTACAACTCATTATACTAGTACTGGTTAGGTTATTTCAGGATTTAGAATGGTACCTGACCTACTACTACTCTGTGTCCCCTCTGTGAAGATAATCTTTGGCCAATACCCTAAAATTAGATGTAATATGTATTTAATTTTTTGAGTGTAAACTTCACTGGAAAATGGTGGCTTTCAGATAAGATTAAATAGAATGAATCTTAGGGAGAATAATTTTAAACAATTTGATTCTTCAGCATAAAGAACTTTTGGTGAACTTTGCAGAAAATGCAGGTAGAGTTTTTCCTCCTTTACCCAAGCAGTACACATTTAATACTCAGTACAAAATACAGGCCTCTTTTAATGTTGGTAGGTCAAGTAATGAAAACTTGATTCCCATTTGGGTTTTTGGTTTCCCATAAGCTATCAACAAATGTATTCACAGTAGTTTGGTATTGACTATAGACATCTTTTCAAAAGAAAATTAGATTATTATACTTGAACATACTATTATGCTGAATATGAACTGGAAACACAATGGTGAATTGTATTTGGTAAATTTTTTCAGTGCCTGAATATTTTTCCTAAATTTTAAATTGTGGTAAAGAACATATAAGAAAATTTACAATCTTAACCATTTTCATGTGTACTAGTAGAGTTTGGTCACATTGTTCCAACCAGTCTTTGGGACTTTTCATCTTGCAAAACTGAAACTCTGTACCCATTATATAGTAGTAACTCCTCATTTTCCCTCTTCTCAGCTTCTAGCAACCTCCATTCTACTTACTGTCTCTATGAATTTGACTGCTTTAAAGATACCTTGTGTAAGTGGAATCATACAGTACAGTTGACCCTTGAACAATGCTGGGGTTAGGGACACCTTCCCCTGCTTTTGACTCCCCCACTACCTAACTATTAATAGCCTACTGTTAACTATAAGTGTTACTCATAACAGCCAATTAACACATATTTTGTATGTTATATGTATTATATCTTGTATGCTTATAATAAAGTGAGCTAGAAAAAAAGTTAAGAAAATTATAAGACATTTACAGTGCTGTACTTATTTATTAAAAAACAACAGCAAAAACCAAGTATAATTGGACCTGTGCAGCTCAGTTCCATGTTCAAGGGTCAACTGTATTTGTCTTCTTTCAACTGGCTTATTTTGCTTAGCACAATGTTCTCAGGGTCCATACATGTCAGGATTTCATTCCTCAAAAGGCTTAATAATTTTTTATTGTACGTACATACCACATGTTGCTTATCCATTCGTCTGTCAATGGACACTTGGGTTGCTTCCACCTCTTGGCTATTGTGAATAATGCGGCTATTAACATGGTATGCAAATGTGAAAGGTTTTGTGTTCAATTCTTTTGGATATATCCCATGAAGTGCAGTTGGATCGAATGGTAAACTTTTTAAATTTTTGAGGAACTGCCATTTTTAAATTTTTGAGGAACCGCCATGTTGCTTCCCATAGCGGTTGCACTATTTTATATTTCCACTAACAGGCACAGTAATTACAGTTTCTCCACATTCTCATCAACACTTATTATTTTGTTTTTCTCAGATTAGTCATCGTGATGGGTGTCAGGTGGTGATATCTCATTGTTTTGTGGTTTTTAAAAAATATATATTTTTATTTATTTCAGAGAGGAATGGAGAGGGAGAGATAGAAACATCAATAATGAGGGAGAACCATTGACTGGCTGCCTCCTGCATGCTCACAACCTGGGCATGTGCCCTTCAGTCCGCAGGCCAATGCTCTAACCACTGAGCCAAACCGGGTAGGGCTCATTGGTTTTTTAGCATTTACGTGATTGTTATTTATGTTGAGCATCTCTTCATATGCTGGTTGGACATTTGTATATTGGCTTTGGAGAAATGTCTATTCAAGACCTTTGCTCTTTCTTCTTCTTTTTTTTTTTTTTTAAGCTGTAGGAGTTCCCTTATCAGACAATGTGATTTGCAAATACTTTCTCAGATTCCAGGGGTTACCTTTTCACTCTATTGATTGTGTCCTTTGGTGCACAG